CTGAAAGAATTTAAAGAAAAAGCAAATAAAAAAAATGCAATTGGCAAGTTTTATATATTCTACAAACATGATAGATTAAAAAGTATTAAAAAAAAACTCTCTATAAAAATAGACCTTCTAAGTTTTCTTTGCTGTACGTGTGTGACTGGCTATTGATATCTAATCTCTCAGAGGAAAAGTAACATAAGAGAATACATTGGAAGCTTGTCAAAAGGTCTTGTCCGTCTCTCATGCCTTACCATTGCTATATTATAGCTGCTGTTTCAATATTCATCTATACGATGTGGTTAGAACTTATAAATATATTGTATATTTTCCTGGAACTATTTATTAATCTTGTTTTTAAAATATTTTTATATATTTATAAAAAAATAAAAATAAAGCAAAAATAAAGAGGTGGGTAGTTGGAACCCAAAGAAAATATGTAGGCCTATTTAAGACAAGATCAAATTAGTTGTTCTACATGGTGGCCAAACAGATGATGACTGTGTTTAGACTAGATCAGAAAACTTCCAGTACATGAATATTAACAGAAATAACACAGAGAAAATTCAACTCACCAGTAAAAGAGAGAAAAAAATATATATATATATATATATATATATATATATATATATATATATATATATATATATATATATATATATATATGCATTTTAAAAGGGTCAGGGAGAAAAAAAAAAGAAATAGTTGTGCAGGTATATTATTATAATTCAGATGAAATTTATATATATATATATATATATCAACAAGAACTTGCACTGGCATAATAGCAGGTTGAGTGAATGTTCAATCATGAAAAGATATGATGATGGGATGAGTCTGAGTGATTGAAATTGTAATGAATGAAAGGAAAAAAAAATGAAAAAAGAAAAAAAAAAGAAAGAGAAAAACTGGAACAGCACCATAAGTTATTCATACCAGCAGGTATTGGGCAGGGCAACACGTTCAGGCGGTATTAGATCGCCAGATAAATTCTTCCAGACAACAACTGCTACTCAGAGAGAATCAACAATATCAACGTGTTAAAAGTTCAATCAGTTGTGGTGAAGAATTGTTGGCAAGAATCAGGAAAGCATTTGGACAAAATATAAATGCAAGTACAATAAAGTTGAAGCAGCATGGTTGGTGAACAAACATGTCTATTGCACAGCTGCCTTGTGAGGGAAAGAGGTGTTGGCCGGAGGTTCAAAGGATGGGAGAAAAGATGCACCACCAATGACGACAACAAGGACGCAGGTGGTGGGCGACACGGTTATGATGGTGCTCACAGCAACAACTCTGGTTTTATTTTTTCTTGTTTTTTTTTTTTGTTTTGTTTTTTTTTTTTAAATCTTTTTTTTGTTTTTTTTTGTTTTTGTTTTTGTTGTAAATGAAAGAAAGGACTAGGGCTCAACTCATGATTCTGTCATCTAGTTTTCTCCCAGGATACTTAGGTGAACACCTAACCTTACAGCTAGAAGGAGACAAGAGAAAAAAGGCCAAAGGTGGAAAGCATAGAGCAGCATGGCAATTCAAAAAGATACATTTTTAGAGGTGAAACCTGATTTAAGGCATTAACACTGTACTAAAAGAAAAAAATATATTATCAGCAGGTTGAGAGGGGGAAAAAAAAAAGAAAGAAAAGCCAATGAAAGACAAGGAACATTGTTAGTTGTTGGTATTTTGTCCCTCTGTCCAGCAGAGGAAACAAAATATAGAGAAGAATCTTGGTTGCAGCTGAAAGAATGAAATGGGTTTTCAGCCAACATAGTGGTGGTGAAGGATTTGGGTAACCCCCCTACTCCCCCTCAAAAATGGGGTTAAAGAAGAACGTCAAACAAAAGACTATCTTAAATGTCAAATATTCATGAGAAACAAGTAAAAAGGAATTTTTAGTTAAATAAAAAAAGTGGTTATGAGATGATTTAAGATGTTTGTTAAATTCTTATTTAAGTAGATAAATATTTTTTAATAATATTGTACATAAAAATGTGAATTTCTGGAATAGATTTTCAGATTAAAAACATATTAAAAAAACAAAAACAAAACAATACTAAAATAAAAGGAGAAAAGACAATCATTTCTTTTGGTGGCAGGCAAGAATGGAAGAAATTCAGATCCAAAAATATTTGCAGCTTGTTCTAGTTGGAGAAAGTCCACATGAAAAACTCTTAATGGATTACTGTTTAGAAACAGAGTTACTTGTATTTGGTAATTTCTACTTGAAAGTAGAGTCAAGTACTCATTTAATAATATGAAAAATTGTAATCATAACATAGAATAGTTGTACTAGTGTAATCATACTAAAAGAGTGATTAAGGTAGATATAAAATGTAGTAATTGAAAGACAAACAAACAATTCATATAAGAAACTTGGCAAGCAATTGACAATTTGGCCTTTGACCCAAATCAAACTTCAAGCAATCAACCAAAATGTAGAGAAAAGGACAAGTAATCAGCAAGATTAAGCAGCATTTAAAGATAGGGTGTGAAAAAAGAACATTGGTTAAATAAAGAGAGGGTGAGTAGAAGAAGTATCAGCATTTATAATTACCAAACTGGCATTGGAAGCTGACAATGATGACACACAAGAGAACACACTCCATAGAGATGTTAAATGAGAGACAAAAGAAATAATTGCAAAGAAATAAAAAATCGGGCCATTTCTTGTTTGTGCACAATTTAAAATTTGATCCAAGTATTTTTTGTTTTAATTTACAGTGCAAGAAAGAACTTGCAGAACATTTCCATGGCAAGTTTTAAAATGAAGTGTAAGTTCTTTCTTTTTTTATCCAGGCATAGACAGTTGTTTTGCCTTTGTTTTTTAAATTTTTTTTAATAATAATAATAATAATAATAATAATAATAAAAAATAATTTTATTTCAATTATTTTAATTTAAAGGACACTAATAATCAATGTAATTCCATGATTTTATATACTGTAGCAGAGTTATAGATATAATGCGCACATGCCCACACACACAAAAGAAAAAGATAAAAAAAAGAAGAAAACAGGCATAAAAACAGCAGCCTCCAAAAATGTTTTTGGAAGAGATGAAAAGTAAAATTTGTTTATATTCAGCCTCATGTTTGATAATACTTGATGACAGCTGAATCATTCCGAAGCAGTTTATCAATCAATGTGCAAGACTAAATTAGAAATAAAAAGAGAGAAGAGAGATAGAGGAAAATTTGCATGTGCACGAATTAAAAATGAATGAGGAATAAAATGAAAAGATGAGGGAGGAGTCAAGTACCAAAAAAAAAAAAAAAAAAAAAAAAAAAAAAAAAAACACTAATTGTTAAATTATTGTTTTCAGCGAAAAACCTACTATTTCAACATATTCATTCATTCATTCATCTATGCAAGAGTTGAAATTTGTCAATTACAAATCAGATAATGAATGGCTCAAGCCCAAATAATAAGTTTCTCAAACTGGCTGCATAAACTCCTCACTCCAAACTTTCTGTAAATATTTGAGACATTTTATATTGAAACTATAGTGGCTCTAATTTTGCTTCGACTCATTATTTTATGATATAAAAAAAGAAAAAAAAAATTGTGTAAAAACTTTTAAAGTGCCAAATCTTAGCCCCAATTTTAGTTTTGTTTTCACAGCCTATAGTCAAAAGATTAAAAAAACTAAGATTTGAAGAATCAATGTTTTGTTTAATGCAATTAGTTTAAGTGCTTTAAGTTACATGGTGAAAATAATTCAGCAGTTAATAAAAGAGGCTGACAAATAATTCTGAGAAGAGGCCATTTACTAAAAAATTAAGATAAAAACTGTAGAAGTCGAGATGATCCATGCAATTTTATGAAAAGGAAGTTATTTACATGTTCTTTTACAATTGCTCACCACTACATGATCTGTTCCCCCCAATAAAAGTAAAAATTGTAAAACTAAATACAGAAGGATTGAAATTTATAAAAGTGAAATCAATGTTGGGTTTAACAAGTCTTACTAAATGATGTATGAATAATGCATATCAGGTTTGACAATAAAATTTTTCTGTATTCTAATAACTGTGAAATATATAAAGAATTGAGAAAACAATGGCATCTAAAACAATAATGGAGATTATATGATATTTTTAAATAATAATAATAATAATGATATTGTATAAGAAGAAGACAAGCCATAATTTGTAGAAATAATCATTTCAGGCTAATATAGTTAAATAACATTTGTAAAGTCACAGATCATGCTTGTATTACAAAAGTAAACCATGTTAATGTTAATGCAGGAGAATTTAAAAATAAATCAAATTCAAGACAGTTTCCCTTTAAATCCATTCCATATTTTACGAGAACTGACCTTAGCTCTCCAAAACTCAAATGAGTAATAAACATTTGTTGAAATTGATTGATAACAGCACAAGAAAGATTTTCAAAAGCAGGAAGGTTTACAACTCAAAAGATAAATATCATCTGCAATCTATCAGTCAATAATCTTTTTTTTTAAACTTAAGCTTGTTTGATTTTTTTAAGATCTGAGAAGGCATCGTTTTACAAATGTGAAATTTTATTTGGACATTTACCCTTTGTTTCAATAATTTAACCTGCCAGTTTAATATGATTGATTAAAAAATTGTAAAAAAATTAAAATCTTATATTACACACTTAATTACATCTCAATGCAACCATTATAATTATAAGAGTTAAAGAACCCATTTATAAAGCATATAACCAAATTATGTTTACTAACATTGATTCAATCAGTTTACCAAGTAATATTAAGAAGATCAGTTTATTAGTTACTGTATTATTTTTCAAATAAGTACAATGTATGTAATATCTAATACCAAATACTAGACATCACCAAGTAAAGTAAAGAATATCAAAAGTCTAAACTACCTAAGTATTATATACAAAAATTACACCATGATTCACAATATTCACCCTATGATAGGCAGATGTCTAATATATCTGAGATGTTTTTTTACCTAACACCGCATTTTCCTCAGTAATTCCAATTATTATCTAAAAAAATGCTAGAAAATACCAATGCTTATGGGTGAGGACATATTTTATATTCATTAGGTAGTATTACATACAGAAATATAGTAATGAAGAAAATGACATAATAAGGAAAGAAAATAATTTAGACATTTTGAAATTTGAATAACTTCTGACCCTGAGATATTTTGAGAGAAGATTAGAAAAAGAGAGAGAGAGAGAAAGATTGTTAGACAGATATTGAGAGAGAGGTGACTGCAGTAGGATTGGTTTTTATAGTTAGAGGATTTATTTGATGAATAACTTATTCCTAAATTACCAAAAGCACAATGTAAAGTATAAAATCTACCATTCTGGGAGAGTTAAATTAGATTGCAAGAAATTATGAAATAGAGAAATTGAAAATATTGACCAATTATACAAATGGAAGAGGTGGATGGAAATTTTTGAAAACAAATGCCCTTCCTCACCTTAAATGAACAGATTAGAAGCCAGTCTGTGTAATGTCCATTGACAAGTAAATATTAACTACATACAAAAATATACACACATGAAAAACTATTAATATAGAGCTTCATGTGCTGGACATTCTCAGTTAAATGTTCTGGTTTAAATCATTCTACTAATCACAGTGATTAGCATTCAATAGGTGTCCTACTAAAATTAGGACCCACTTGCAGGAGAGGTGGATTTGATAGACATATTAGTTAAATTGTATTGTAAATGTGAATACTTATTGGAAATGACCTAAAGATTAAAAAAAAAAAATAAAGAGGGAAAGTAAGGGATAATGTTTCAAACAAAGTTGTGATTTGCAGTAAAGACTAAGATTCAAGGAGAAGGAGAGGAAAATTTACAGATGAAATAGAATAGTTAAAAAACAACAAAAAAAGAAAAATGCTGCAGATATTGTCTTTTGATTGTGCAAAAGATACAGAAGAAATGACAGGTTGGAGCCTACAATCAGTTTCAGATTTAGTGCAGTTCTTACAAGTATAGACTTACCAAAATATGTAAATAGTAAGTTCCCAATTTATCTTTACACCATCGTTTGAATCAAGTTAACAATAGACTGATTTTACTATGAATACAATTGGATAAAAAAAAAAAGTAAAACAACACCAAATGAAATTAGTGAATGTCTCATTGAATAACAATCTCTAGTGAGATGTGATCTTTAATATTTGAATTATAGATAAATGAAAGAAAATCTCAGTGGAATACAAAGTCGTTAATACTAAGTGAATGACAAAAAAAAAAAAAAAAAAAAGAAGAGAATGTGAAAAAGAAAGAAAAAAAAGAAAGGAATTGTGACAACAGAGTATCCACAGTGGTTAGAATGCAGACAATCTACAAGCATATAAAGAATACTGAAAGAGAGAAAGGACAAATCAAATACTTAAAAAATAGTGGGGTTATTCAGAATATGGCCACATTTAAAGTTTAATTATAACTGGATGATAATAATTTGAAAAGTTGAATAATTAATAATTATTAAAAAACTAAACTGTAGGGACAGTAAGCAAATGTTTGTGAAAAATTAAATAAAAGTAATCTCTATTTTCTTTTCTTTGTTTTGGCAGTAATATATTTAGGGTAATTTGTGAAGTTAAAAGGTTGATTTATTTTTTTTTTTTTTTAGCTTACAAGATTGAATGATGTTGGATATTTCATAAAAACAAAATCTTTTAATGGTTGAAAGCAATGGAAAAGGGGCATTGCAGTTATATGTACAACTGTAACCAAACAAAAAATGATAATAGAACAAAAATATTG